TACATAGTTAGATTCCTTTGTTTCACTGTTTGACCTGTGGTGAACTCTGGGCTAGGCAGGCTATGTCTTCAGTTCAGCATGTGCTACTGAAGAGTGAAGACGTCTCTGTGTCTGCTCTGAATTGCCTGCCGCGTTGAGTTTTCTGAAACTTGCTAGGTTTGCTAACATTTGTACACTGGTCCGGGAGGGTGCCACTAAACGAGGTAAGGAAGGTTTTCTCTTCATTGTTGGCTTCATCAGCATGAAATTATTGGCAGTAATTCGTTACAAGTTTGAGTACTCGTATGAACTCCGATTTTATCACTCTAACTTTGGGTTATTATTGCAAGTCTGTAAATGTTAGTATTCGTTAAGACTTATTTATTGAAAATTGTTTTGTTATTTATACTGTTTGCCACCCATTTTTTGTGCCCAAACACATTGCGTACATGTGGTCAGCTGCACGTTTAATAGAGCACATGGTATGCAATGTGTGCTTTGGCTCGTCAAAATGGTTGACAAATATTTCAGTTAGCATTGTTATTTATTGTTACATATTTGATTTGCCGTGTATTTATTGGTTGTATCGCTCGACTTTTTGCACATATTAAAAGAAATGTATATTTAAATTTACTGTACATTTTATGATAAGAATTGTTTGATTTACTTGGAATATTTATAGTTTTCCTATTTTGTTTTGTATATTTTAGAACCATATTCTGGAGATGTACTAATCTGTTTTAATTCTGTAATGATTGACCATATGGAATAAATATACGATATAACCAGAGTACGCGTTTCTAGTTGGTGGTGTAAGAGACTGTAATACCTGTGGGAGCTTGTGATGCCTACAATATACATCAGAGCAAGTCACCCTATAAATACATCAGAGCAAGTCAGCCTATAGATATATCAGAGCAAGCCACCCTATAGATACATCAGAGCAAGTCACTCTATAAATATATCAGAGCAAGTCAACCCTATAGATACATCAGAGCAAGTCACCCTATAGATACATCAGAGCAAGTCACCCTATAGATACATCAGAGCAAGTCACCCTATAGATACATCAGAGCAAGTCACCCTATAGATACATCAGTGCAAGTCACCCTATAGATACATCAGAGCAAGTCACCCTATAGGTATATCAGAGCAAGTCGCCCTATATATATATCAGAGAAAGTCAGCCTATAGATACATCAGAGCAAGTCACCCTATAGATACATCAGAGCAAGTCACCTTATAAATACATCAGAGCAAGTCAGCCTATAGATACATCAGAGCAAGCCACCCTATAGATACATCAGAGCAAGTCACCCTATAGATACATCAGAGCAAGTCACCCTATAGATACATCAGAGCAAGTCACCCTATAGATACATCAGAGCAAGTCACCCTATAGATACATCAGAGCAAGTCACCCTATAGATATATCAGAGCAAGTCGCCCTATAGATATA